CCCCTAACTCATCCCGTTGAGGTGGAGGTGGAGAACAGGGAGATAAACGTCGTGGCATCTTTGTCGGTCGCCTATCTTGCGGTGATGGTGGAGAAGAGGCTCGATGATGTGACAGAATATGTGATGGCTGTCGTTGTGGAGGTGTATAACAGCCGGGTCGATCAGATGATGGCTCTGGGTGAGGTGATAGCTCTGGGCGAGGTGATGGCTCCCGAAGTGGAGGCTGCTCATCAACCGTTCCATCAAAAAAACGCTTACTAGCTTGCCACCAATCAGTGGCAAGCTCAGCTTCCATGGGTGTCAGACTCTGTAGAGGAGTGTTGGCCTCCTAACAATATAAAAGCTCAAACAAAGTTAAATGTGTACTAGTAATAACTTATTTATAAACATATGGTAGTATTTATGTTAACTTACATTATTTATTGTCGTATACCGTAGTAAATCTTCCCATTGCAAGGTTCGTTTCCTCTTCCAGGAAATAGCCCTGGGAATATTATTTGAAGTTTTTATTGCATATGTCTTCATGGCGGGAAAGGCCTCAAATATCCAAATCTACAAACAATATAATAACAAACATTAGTAATTGTTAAATAATTACTTATAATTTTGGAAACATTATATAAAAATTCTTACCTTAAAGGCCCAAATAAAGCCTGTCAAAGTGTATTTGGAACCATCGCCATGCAAACTTTTTCGATCATCCAAGGCAGACGATAACTTATTCCATGTAGCTTTCCATAAATACGAGCCCCACGGAAACAGGTTCCACGCATTTAGGTCTTCTACCAATTTGATTAGATTATTTGGAATAGGTTGTCTGGCCTCTCTGCCTAAAAAGCCGGCATGCAAAAGAATTAGAAGGCATACTCGGACAACGTCGACGTCATCCATCCGAGTAAAACCATCTTTATTATTCAAAAATCTTGTCAGGTCTTCTACGTGTAGACTCGGCCTCTCCAGCTCAGGAAAAACCCGGGATAGCCATGATGGGAGGGTAATGTGTCTACTGTACCGACCTACATCACCGTGTCCGAAGCGTAGACCGGTGATTAAGCAAAACTCCTCCCGCCCAAAACACGTATACGCCGGTGGAAAATCAAACCATATCTCTTCATCACGACGTTGTATAGTCTCTGGTAGATCTCTAGTCATGGTTTGAAGAAACAGGTGTGTCAACATCGCATCTCCACCGGGATGTTGTACTTTCAGCCATGGCCCGAAGCATGTATCCTCAAACATTTTTCTTTGTGCAGGTGAAAGCTTCGACGCAATTGTTTTGGCCAGGCTGACTTTATTTCTCAAGGTCAATTGAGCCGAATAAAAGTTCTACAAAAACAATAAGCATACTAAATTAGATATACCAAAAACTACACTGTGAAAATATACCAAAAACAATAATAAACATAAATAGTAGTAGTTTATTCTTCAACTTAATATGCAACACTGTGAATTTCGTATTTGTCTTTGTTTTTTGGTTGAAGTAATGCAATTCATTCAAGTTTCAATTTGCAGAAGAAGAATAGTTTCTGAAAATGAAAATCGCAACACGAAAATGACTATCGCAACGAGAGAATCGCAACGCGAAACTAAAATCGCGTTGCGATTTGCATTTCGCGTTGCGATTCTTGGTTGATTTAATAAGCAATCTAAGTGAAATGGTTAATCTATTATTGAAATTACCAGTAAACTTATCATCAATTTCAATATGAAAAACCTAATAATAATGCAAAAATTTCAAAAAGAAAATAATTAAAAAAACTAACCCTCGTTGGTTGATTTGGTTGATTTTCCATTTCTGATTGTGAGGGTGGCTCTGAGAGATTTAGATAGACGGATTTCGCCGGAGATGGGGACGGATTTCGTCGGAGATGGGTGAGAGAGTGAGAGATGGAGATGGGACTGAGTTGTGATTTTAGGTTTTAGTTATGAGTTGCAATTACGGGATATACTGTGGACAGTTCAGTGTTCCAATATATTAATATTCATGTTTGGAATTTAAAAATAAAATACTTGGCCAGGATACTAATGGCGCTTTGAAAATCGCATTGCGATTATGTATTATCGCGTTGCGAAAGACAGTATCGCGTTGCGAAAGTAAGTATCTCGTTGCGATTTTTTATTATCGCATTGCGATAGTCAGTATCGCATTGCGATTTTCCCAATTCGCGTTGCGATTTACTTATTCGCATTGCGATTTTCCCAATTCGCGTTGCGATTTACTTATTCGCATTGCGAATTGGGAAAATCGCAACGATACTGTAGACCATCGCAACGCGATTTTCAACTATCGCATTGCGAAAATGCAACGCGAATTTGCGATAATGGAGATCGCGTTGCGAATTAGCGATCGCATTGCGATTTTGTTGGTCATTTTGGCAAATCCGGAAAAAGTTGGTTAAAATCGTATATTATATGGGATTTTTGGTCACTGAGGTTATTTTTTCTTTAAATTATTATGTTATTGTTAATGTTGATTGACTTTTAGGGTTTGTTTAGTTGAGGGAAGCCATATTTTATGGGAATAGAATCTACATTTTTCAGTTTGGTTGGTCGAAAATGTTATTTTCGATAATCTTACATTATCAATAGTATATTTTTTGGAATATATTATCGGAAATGTCATTACCTCACTTTCCTTAGGTATTGTTGGATTACCAGTGTTTTGGAATAAAATGCCCTTAATTTTTTTTTCAAAAATATTCTTATTCTGTCATTAAATAATAAAAATTCTACGAATGTTAAATTAAAAATTTATCTTTAAACTATTTTAGATTTACAAAAAAATCTATAATTAAAATTTTATATAAAGTTCGGAGGTTAAAATAAAATTTTACTCTTTCATTAAATCTTTTCAATTTTGTAAAAAAATTTATGAATTTAAATTTTTTAAAGAGAATATATAAATATTTTCCAACTTGTTAAAAAATAAAATATAATAAGGATAATTTGGTTAAATATATATTCCAATAATCTTTTATTTCTTTAACCAAACACGATAATCTTACATTCCTGCTAAACCAACCAAACACAAAATTCAACATTCTCAGTAATCCTATTACCTTAATCTTTTATTCTCACTGGTAATCTTATATTCCGTGAACCAAACGCACTCTTAGGATTAAGGAAGATGATGTATTTGATTAAATTATTGTTATCATTTATTATTGGGCAGTCCAAATCCAACCAAAATCAAGCACAATATTCGATTAGATTTGGTTAGGAACAAGCCACTTAAATTATTTCAGGTACAAGGTTGAAACTTAAAGTAAATTTTACTATTTAACATCGTTATTGATATATTTTATAATAAAAAACGTAATATATATATATATATATATATATTTAATATTTAATATATTTTTATTTATAAATAAATTTAAAATAAATTTAAATAATAAATCTATTATCTAATATATATATATATGATTTATAGCAAGAATCTTGTGACGAAGTATGCTTTGTTGTAAAGTACTAATTTACTTTACCTCAAAATTCGTAAACAACGCCGAAAACCGGTAATAATAAAGATAAATTACATTTTTAGTATCTCAACTATTATTTTTATTATGTTTTGGTAATTTAGTTATTTCTTTTTCAAAATCGTAGTTAATGTTAGGTTGAGATGATTATAAGGTAGTATTTATTTAAAATCTTTCTTAACTATTGAAAACATACACATATTATGTAGATGCAGTTGCTCGACCCATAATCTATGAGAAAAGCAATTTTCTCATTCACCACTAAAACTATGATAAATATTTTTATTCTTCTCTCTTACAAGATTACAAAGTTGTTATGAATTCTACCGTTGGTCTCACCACTAACTTGTCAACTATAGCATGAAGAAATCAGTTGGTCGAAGATTTCATAGTCAACACGGTGTTTTTATTACAAACATTGCTGCTATAAGTTAGCTTTCTGACATTCATTATTTTTCTTTATTCATAATGATTTTTTTGGGTGCATGCTTATGTTTCACATTTATTGTCTTCTACGGTGTTTTTATAGACTTAGTTTCATTAGAAAAAGAAATCAACAGAGAATCAGTCTAATTTGAACCATTCAAAGGTCAATCAATTACTTTCACCTAATTGATTCACTAGTTATTTTCAATCCTATACTTTGCTTATGCACTGGTTGGACTCTCGGGGTTATTAGTTCTGCGTAATTTATGTCTTAAAAAGTATATGATGATTAAATTTAAGTGTAATTTGTGAGTAATACAAATACCATTAAGAAATTAAGGAGAGTGATTAAGAGTGTTGTTGAAATAGATAATTAATCATTGAATAATTTTGTCCTTCTGCGATTCCTATAAAAAGAAAATAGTCTATCATTAATATTTTACATATCGAAGAATCTATTTATTCTCTTCTATTGTTGTTTTTCTCTGCCGGAAAAAAAATAATGTTGATTGAGTTTCGTATTTTTCAATTGGATGTACGAATATAAAAGCGTTATGTTAATTTTAAGGACGTTATTGGTCTTATGATTATATCGATCATAATTAATCATTGGTATTCGATTTATTGATCGACTAATTTAGATTAGATACTGCAAAGTCAAGGGTTACCCACCTAACCTAATTTGCTCCATTCGAGAATGCTAAGATTCGAACTCTTGACTTTGCTTAAGAAATCTAATGTCTTATCTCAATAGACCAATTGATTGTTGGTACTATTTTTATTAAATAGGGGCGGGTTAAATAAATGTAATTGAAATCGAGTCACTATTTGTGTTTTATATGCAATTGTGATTTTAATTTGGGTAGGTATCATGTATATAATGTCGAAATTGTAATTTTGATACTATTTAAGTAATTTAACTAATATGTTATTCTATAAGACAAGTTATTATATGTTTTATTATAAAAATTCGATGACCGAACATGTTAAAATTTCTATGTGATTTGTAAAATGTGAAGTCGTAATGAAATTATGCTAATTCCACGTTCAACATATAAACGAGCCAAATACTACATTTGATATTGAAATTATATAACCATAATCTGCAGATCAGCAGCAAAAACTGGCACACTAAGGCTACAAAGAGTTTTATTAAATTAAAGAAATCTAGCAAAAATAATCTTAGGAGCTAGTAGCCATTGCTAAAGGAAACTTGAAAGAAAATATCAGAGCTTCAAAGTAAGATCGAGTGCAGATGTATCTGTTGTTGGTGGTGATGCCACTGCTATAAATCCTATTTTCGAACTTTGAGTTGAATTTTGAGTCAAGTCCAATGCCTGGTTAGTGCCAACTCTTTGATCTTCATTCACCTGCCTGAAGCTCCCTGGCCAGAACAAGTCTACATCGTCATCTTCAACGTATATTGGGATTCCAAAATACCCTTGATCGAACCGTGCACCAGTTCCTGTATCTATAGGCATATTGGATGATGGCATGATCCCTTGGTGCATAGCGGAATGAGCTTTGATCCCAAGTGATCGGAATGTCGACCCGTGAAGGGGCAGAGATGCTAAGCTCGTATACCTCTCGGATAATATCCCCATCCGCATCACGCGCTTTGCCATTGTCCTCTCCCTCTTATGAGCATTTTGGTGTCCACCTAGTGCTTGTGAGCTATAGAACTTGCGCCTGCAGTAATTACAAGAAAAAATCCTCGCAATTGTGGCTGGCAAAGTGTCGGTCGCCGTAGTCTCACCCGTGACACTCTTCATCTCAGTATCAGTGGCACCGAAGTGCAGGGTCAGGTTGAGGGAGACAAACCCCGAATGTGGTTGAACCTTGACGGGATTGGAGAGGCATGAAGCAGTGGTTGCGGTATCCTTTGAGGGATCCGGGGAAGCGGATCTGTTGGAAGCCACTCGGCTATTTGATTCGGAGACGTTTTTGAATTCTAACCCGAGGTTTAGTGGTGCCATTCTCAGGTATAGCAGCAAGTTCCGTGCCCGTTCAGTTCGATTTGGTACGATTGCTACACTACTAATAAGTTAGCTCTTCAAAACCTGCACACAACTTGAATATAAGATAATAAATACAGGAACACAAATAAGAGGATGTTAAGATTCGTCAATCACGGAGCAAAGAGCAAACACTATGGGTAGAATCAAATTTACATAATGTCCATCCCCTTTTCCAATATGACACTGAATGAAACTGGACTGGATTGAGTCACTTCATTGAGTGCATTAACTCACTCGGTACCTAAGACTGGGTAAGTGCTTTAACTCACTTATAGTAGTACAAAACCCCGGATTCTAACTCGGTTAACCTTAGAACTAACTGGCTAAAAGGTACAAGAGAGTAATGAAGAAAGAAACAGAGAAATGGACATAGTGATTCAAAATACAGGTGAGATTTATATATACAGACAGACATACTTGCATATAGATAACTAAGAATCACCTATGTCCAATTCTAAAATTAAGGATGTGGGTGAATTAGCTGATATGCATGGAACTGATGAAAGAAAATCCCAAGCTGAAAACAGCAACAAATTTAAAATGATACTAATAACAACACTGCAAAAACTGGAGCTTAAAATCAGTAACAAAACAGAAAGAAAATCAAATCCATAACCTATGAGACAATTGTGAAAAAGATTCTTACTTGGCATGATATAATACTTTGTAAGTTACGAGCTGAAGTATCAAGAGACAAAATCACTGTAATCTGTGGGTGCTTTTTTATTCTTCTATTTTCTACACAGATAATACTGTGATTGTTCAAGAAGAAAAAGAACATAAATGGGATAAGATTGCCAGGCAGGAGATGGAAAGGAGAGAGAGGGAAAAGAGGTGTACAATTATGGGAAAGCAGAGGTGTATGAGGGAGCAAAGTCAGAGAATTCACAAATCCAAAAAGAAAAAAAATAAACACACTAACAAGTGTGTGTTGAATTATGGGCTCTTCTAGTGTTCCAATAGCTACAATTCAATGAGTGGAGAGAGAAAAGAGGGATAGATATATACCATAAACAACACAACAGAGAAAGTTGTTTGTGGTCAGATTCTTCTTCCCATGCCTACTTATGGAATTTGCATACCAATCTAGCCCATTACATGGTCCATGAATCCAATTGCATTGCTTGGGTTCTATCTCAATTTGGTAGATTGATGCAAGATGATATTTGTCCAAATGGAACATCTATGTTCTCTGTCTTGTCCTCCTCTATTTCATTAAAAATATATATATATGAAAAATTGACACAATAAAGTACAAAGTGTACACGACTTGGTCCACGTTATGAATTCAAATCTGTTATCATTGTTTCTAGCAACTTGGTATTTGGTTGTCCTGATTGTTGTCACCTTCAGCAATTTGGGAATTGTATGCCTAAGCTCCAACCACATACTTTTGCTTTTAAAAGTCTCGCCCTTCATGATTAAGTTTTTAACCTGTAATATTAATGTAAGAAAATTATGTTATATATGAATTGTATAAATATAAATTTTAGTTTATACAAATATGCCAATTTTAAAAGATTTCATCATATTTATGGTTTAAGCTAGGGTTTTAAGATTTAAGGATTAGGGCAGTAGATTTTAGGATTTGGATTTATAATAGAAAAATTATGTAAAATAATTTGTATACAACTTGTGTATCAAATAATAGCTTAAAGTAATAATATATATAAATATATTTCAATCCCCATATCAATTTAAACTAAGAAAAATGATTATATCATGACATAAATATAAAAAAAATTATTTTACAAAACAGGAACCTAATTGAAAAATATATAAAAAGAGGAGTATTACAACAATTATATTTAAATATATAAAAAATTATACTATTATCCAAATCGATTCAGACTAAACATTTTTCATTTTAAACTCGAATCTAACCCGACCACAATCTTTATAAAACTCAATCCAACTCGAACAAAATCAATTATTTTAATATTCCTATTGGATCGCTTTAAGACCCATCGAATTCATGTGAAATTAGAATCCTTACTTTCGTCTTCAATCAACCAAACTTTTGACCCACATACTTGATTCTATCAACACAAGAATCATATCTTTGGTAATGATAAAACCAAGTTCTCCAAAATAAGAATGCAAGTAAATCCATTTGTTCATATAATTTATTGGTTCACTTTCATGTGTCTACCACGGAAGCTGCTCTCAACCTGACGTTGGGGCAACCTACTCCCCTACCTCCCCTTAACCTCCATTGTATATGAGAATAGAGTTTTGTTGTTGTTGTTTCATGTGTCTAAAAAGGTGACAAATATGATTATAGAGTCAAAAAGAAAGGTACTTTACAAGAAGGTCCCTTACATTATTGCATCCAATGGGCGAATGATTATTAATAATAATGATAATCAAAGTAATCAATAAAGAACGAAAATGTCATCGTATCTTTGTTCTATCGAGTTTGAGAAGATTTGCAGGCTTTGCCATTAATAATGAGAGGCACCGACCCTAATCAAATTGGATTTCTTCTTCTTAACAACTTCTTTCAAATGATATTATATATATATATATATATATATATATGTATAGATAGGACCGATTATAGAATATAAAATTTAATTATGTACAAATGTATGATCATTGGATAAGTAAAAATAGATGACTGAGATTAATAATAGAAAATAATAAAATATTTATTTAAAAAAATAAGGAATCGATTTTTGTTGTTTATTTTTACACATCAAATGATCTTAAATATATATATATATATATATATATATATATATATATATATATATATATATATATATATATATATATATATATATATATAACATTGACATGTAATGCAAGTGTGTTGAGTTAATCGATCGATGGAATTGGCCAAGAGAGGGTGAATTAGCAATAAAAATTTTGGTGGAAGCTTTTACAGAAAATTGAAAAATATTTGCACAGCGATTTAGAGTGATTCGACTTTCTCAACCAAAGTCTACGTCCACTACCTTAGCTATCCACACTAAGGATTTTCCAATAAATTCACTAATTTGTTCTTTCTTTTAAGGACAAAGAGTAACCTTACAACTCCCTCAAGAATTATACCTCAATTTTTTAGCACACTCTCTCCCAAAGAGAAATACACAAATTTCGTAAACTTACAAGAAAACCTCACAAAGTAAGATGTTTGCACAATTATAGAACAAGAAAAAAACACTAAAAAATATTACAAATGAGCACAATGTGTGTTATTGAAAGCAAAATGAATATTGAAGGAAAATTGGTTTGATTTTCACAAACTTAGTGTTTGATGCTTTTTCTCTTGTCTCTCAATGATTTCTTATTGATCAATGGCTTCAGAACTTGTTTAAATACACAGTGGGATGATTCTAACCGTTGGGAACCATTTGGATGAAGTTAGAGCCGTTATAGAGTGAAAAACCACTTAAATTTGTATGTTGGGAGCAGGGGGTATTGATACCCCTTCATAGGGTATCGGTACCTGCAGTGTAAAATTTAAATATTTCGACTGTTATATGCCTAAGGGTATCGGTACCTCATGAGTAGGGATGGCAACGAGCTGGGTTCGGGCAGGGTATTGGTTCCCATGTCCCCATCCCCGTTTAAAAAACCCGTACCCGTTTAAAAAAACTGCGGGGATTTAAACGAGGATCCCCATCGGATAATCGGGGAAAACTGCGGGGAAACGAGTATCCCCGTTTAGCATAAACGGTTATTTAAACGAGTATCGGGCCGGGTATATATATTTAAATTAAATATATAAATATTATATATATATTTTTAATTTAAATTAATTTATTAATATTATATATATAAAATAATTATTTTTAATATTTGTCGGGTCGGGTAATTGGGGCGGGGATTACCAAACCCGTCCCTGTCCCCGTTTATCATCCCCGAACCGACCCGTTTAATTCGGTTTTCCCCGTCAGGTTCGGTTTTTTTTGCCATCCCTACTCCTGAGGGGGTATCTGTACCATTGCATGGGGGTATTGATACCTATGAGGGTATCGGTACTATCAGAACATTCTGTTATTTCTCGGAACCAAAATGTTTATAGGAGTATCGGTACCCTATAGGGGGTATTGATACCATACTAAATGAATTTTATTTTTGGCTCGAAATACTTTTAAAAAAATTGTTTCAAAAATATTTTATGATTGAAACTTAATTTTACACTTTAGTAAGGATTAAAATAGACATTTGAAAACTTGGAGTAATGATTTATGATATTCGAATTAATCGAATACATAATGTAAGAATCAATAGAAAACTTAAAATTTATTAAAACTTGATTTGTTATATCGAAATATCAAAATATTTTGACTGAGTGGATGGGGTGAAAGTTGTAGCATTCGTTAAGAATTGGAAATGGAACAGTGTAAGTGACAAAGACATGATTCATTTTCATATGTAAATGAAAATCAAGACATGTTTTTTCCAAAACATTAATACGTTTTTGTCTTTCTTGTAGGAAAGTTGACGCCTTACATAAACAATTAGATATGTTAGATATACGGTAAGATTACACCCAAGATTTGATTAAGATTGTTTTGGCATTTTCGAGGTTATTCGTACTTGGAAAAAAATGAAGTCGTGCTCGGACAATAATAACTCACAGAATTCGGGGGGGAAAAAGAAATACCTACATGTACCATATACATTGTGAGAATTTTTAAGACTTGTTGATCGCATGTTCTAATCTTAGAAAATATTTCTTTTAATAAAATTGATAATTTGAACTGCAACCTTGTTGAATATTGAAATTTGAACTTTAAACTCGTTGAATAATATATAAAAAGTAGACAAGGATCAAGCGAATGGGTAAAATAACTCTTAAGAGTGAAGAGATAACGGTATAAATCTCAAAATTATATATTAAATTTTGATCAAAATGTCACAAAATTAATTACAGATTAAATTAAAGATAATCTTAAAAAATAATGAAGTAATTATGGAGGGGTAAGAGGGATAAATGTTTGGGCATAAGAGAAGATCACATGGCTGAATGAAAGGAAAGGCAAAGAGAGAAAAAGAGGGACCACAGCAGAGAGCATAGAATGTGGCAGTGCAAATTCAAACTCAAGAGAGGAGTGGCAGAGAGCCCAGGGATGCTGTTGGAGGAAGCAACCGCCCGCCCCATGTGAGGAGAGAAAAACCTTTATCATCATTGATTGAACAAAATATCTACACTTATTTTAGGGAAAGTGATGGGTTTTGTGTGGGGATTCTCTAATCACTAACCACCCCCACAGCCACATGATCCTCACCCATGCTCTTTGAGTCGGAAGTAAAAATTTTTGACCCAAAAGCAAAAATCAATGTTTAATTAATATGTCAAGGGTCCCTTAACCATTGTTGGAAGAAAAAAAATCTTATTGTATCTCTGCCGAACGTCCTTCGTGTATCATCTTCGTACTGTGCCTTAAAGTTTATGGAGAAAAAGCCTCTCCGCAAATAGGATCCCAAAACAAGTATTTTAGAATTAATAACTTAAACCTCAAATATTTAATAGTCTTTGAGAAATTATGATTAATTGACATGACATATGATATGTCTATCTGATCTATCAGAACTAATCTATCTCTAATTGACTATATCCAAATAATATGTCAGTCTAAGAATAATTATCATGACCTTACGTTTGACATCAATTCTAATATTCACTATAAAATCTCTAAACTAAGACCGAGAGAGGGTGGAACCCAAATTGAACCACCTCACCCTAACTTGTTTATATGCTACCTCACAATAGAGACAAAGAACACTAAACATCAATTAATAACCATTTGTCTACCGAGTATAACTCTCCGTCCAAACTAGAATGAACGAACTGTCAATAATTATTGTAACCTATTTATTTCCATCAATAAGCTTATGTATTTTAATATTTTTAGTTGTATTCTTAGTCCACTTTCTAATGTATGTTTAATTTTATTAT